CGGGCCAGCGCCGCTGCCGCCGCGGAGCCGGTGACTAATGCGGCCGCGCTCGGGCTGCGCCGCCGCGCGACGCTGCCTGTAATTACGCTAATTGGGAGCCCAACAAGGGTCCTTTTCCACCCGGATTTTATCGCTGCTGAGTTTCGTCCCCAGGGGGAGGCTGGAAACCTCCACGGTGAGAGCGGCCCCGGTGGGAAAGGTTTGCACCGGGAGCTGACGCTTCTCCACAAAAGCCTCATCTGGAAAGAAAATAACCGCAGTTTCGTCCCCGTGCTCCAGTCCCTGTGAACCTGCAGCTTCTGCAGCGCCGGGACGGGAGGTTTCACCCTCCTTTGCTGCAGCGGCTGCTCTGGCCTCGGCGCCCGCCTAGGTGGAGCTGCTTCCCCGCAGCCCCGCGCTCCTCCACTAGCGCCATCATTTATTATTCCCTTTATTACATGTAATAAATGTCCCCGTGCCAGCTGTGCCTGAGGAGCAGCAAAACCCTCCTGTCGCCCGGGGCTCCCGAATTTGCGGGTGAATTTGCCCCGCTGCCAAGCGAGCTCTTGCAGGTGGGGGGTTCAAAGGTGGGGGTTAATAACAAGCTATGGAAAGGGAGGAAAAATCCCCCTTTGCAGGGGAAATCACCTCCTGGAAGCACCTGCTGCCCGGAGCCCAATTCTTCTGGGCACTCGGATTTTGCAGCCAGAGATGCGGGTCCCCCCGGGCTGCCCAGGACATGGAGTGTGTTGCATCCCTCAGTAGCTGCTTTCTGGGGACAGGTGCATCACAACAAACTTTATTCCTTGCAGCTTATATCAGGAGGACTTTCCAAGGATGCTCCCTTCATCCTTTCCAGGAAATATCGCCCGGTGCTCCTCCATACTGTGGCTATTTTAATTTTTTTCTTTTTCTAATTGGTGTAAATGAATGGCTTGGTAATGACTTGATGGGTTTTCCCGCAGCCCTCAGGATTTTGTCTTTGCTCCGGCTGCTCCCTCCGTGCTCCCACCGCGCTCACGGTGCGACCCGCTCTGGCCAAGCTCCAAAAGCTGCTTCCAGGCTTTCCACATTTTCTAGGTATGGTGCAGCCAGCTTAGGAGCAGTGGCAGCACTGTCAGCATCCACGTGCCGATGTGGCTCCAAATTATTGGGAAACTGCTGCTTTAATTGCATGGGTGCAATTTCCCCTCCTTTGGCTAAGCCTGGGATCTGGGAAAAGAGCTGTTTTGTTTTTGCAGTTTAATCAATTCATGACCTTTTTTTACACAAATGCAGCCGAGCTGCCAAGGTTTTCCCCGCCTGCCCCTGTACTTGTCCCACGTTGTCACCCACGCACCATGGGCTTGTGGCCCAGGGACCTGGGCAGGCATTTCGGTGCCATCCCACATGCAAGGGAGAGGGGAGGCCTGACCTGTCCCCGCCAAAATAGCAGGTTTGTGTTGCTTTCTTTCCACGGCCATTTCTTTTCTTCCACTTCTGAAGTTGTCTAAAAAAGAGCTTGCAAGGATCAGTTTTCAAATAAATAGCTTTCAAATTGCATTCTGCCCTTCTTTGACCACTCCAGGCTTCCAATGCTGAAATATTAGCTATATTCAGAGCTTATTGCCATGTACGCAAGGAGTGTGTTTGATGCATGCTGTGGTTATAGCTATATTTCATGGGCAGATATAGAATTGTAGGATTGCTGCAAAGGATCTTTATTTGGGCAGATTGGAGAGTTGCAGCCCCTCGTTGCTTGCGGAGCATCCGTAGAGGCTCCGGTTTGCTCCTCCAGTGCCAGGCACAGCGATTCCCTCACTGCCTGTCTGGTTCTCTGCTTTCCACCAAATCACACAAGAAGAGCGAAAATGGAGTCTCCTGCCCCCAGGCATCTTTATTGCAAAAAACAAGCCAGACCCAAAGGCAATTTCCTGGTCACCCTGTGACCTCCTGGCTGTGCCAGGGAGCACAAGCCGCCCTTTGGGTCCAAACAGCTGGTGGAGCATTTTGCTTCTGCTCTTATTGCCATTAGGAAGCTTTTCCTGGAGCCAAAACCTACTCTTATATATATATACACACTTAAAAGAATGTTCCTAGGGGCTGGCTGAGCTTGTCTGCAGGAAAGGAGTCAGATTTACGCACTGGAAGTCCCGACCTCCACCCTGCTGCTTTTATTCCCAGGCGGATGCTGGGAAGGGCTTTCCTCATCCGCAGCCCCAGCGCGGGCCGAAGTTCAGCTCAGCCGCCTGTTTGCTCTGCTGGACTTTTGCACCACGTTGGCATTTGCTGCAACCCAGTGTGACAGGGACTGAGCCAGGGACAGGATGGGGAAGGGAAACCTGGGAGCAGGGCTGGGAGGTGAAGGAGGCAGTG